GGGATTGTTTATGTTTTGGGGGAGATCAGTGTGATCCTCTCACTCATTCATTCTATGGTGTTAGGGGTCGGGATCGGCAAACATTCTTTTTGGCTAACCTTTTCACCGCTGATGACGTTGAGTTTTATGGGGTTGATTATCCAGCAGTTGTGCATGATTTTGTGGATGTGTTTCCGGAGGACTTGACTGAGTTGCCTCCACATCGAGAGGTGGAATTTGCTATTGATTTGATACCTGGTGCCGCGCCAATCTCTATGGCACCGTATCGTATGACACCGATTGAATTAGAAGAATTAAAGAAGTAACTTGACGATTTGAGAGTGAAAGACTTCATACGACCGAGTGTGTCACCGTGGGGTGCACCGGTCTTGTTCGCTAAGAAGAAAGATGGTTCTTTGAGGTTGTGCACTGATTATTGGAAGTTGAATCATGCCACTATCAAGAACAAGTATCCTTTGCCAAGGATAGATGATTTATTTGATCAGTTGAGGGGTGCCAGTTGTTTTTCGAAGATTGACTTGAGGTCATGTTATTATTAGTTGCGGGTTAGAGAGGAGGATATTCCAAAGACTGCTTTCCGTACACGGTATGGACATTATGAGTTCCTTCTTATGCCTTTTCGGCTTAACTAATGCGCCAACGGCATTTATGGACTTGATGAACCGCGTCTTCCATGATTACTTGGATCAGTTTGTGGTGTTTTTTGTGGATGACATTCTTGTGTATTCACGGACTCGGGAGGAGCACGAGGTCCATTTGAGTATAGTGTTGCAGATTCTACGGGAGCACCGTTTGTATGCCAAATATGAAAAGTGTGAGTTTTGGCTACAAGAGGTAAAGTTTTTGGGACATGTTGTCTCGAAAGGTGGGGTTTCAGTTGATCCTTCAAAGATAGAGGCAGTTCTGAATTGGGAGCAACCCAAGAATGTCTTTGAGATCCGAAGTTTCCTTGGCCTAGCGGGGTATTATCAAAGATTTGTGAAGGATTTTTCCTGTTTGGCAGCTCCCATGACCAGATTGACCCGGAAAGGGACCAAGTTTGCATGGAATGAGGCATGTGAGTTATCCTTTCAAGAGTTGAAAATAAGGTTGACTACGACTCCAGTGTTGGTGATACCCGAGTGTGGCTTGGGTTATGTGATCTATTGTGACGCCTCACATGACGGTTTGGGTTGTGTACTGATGTAAGATGGTAGAGTAGTGGCTTATGGGTCTCGACAGTTGAAGACTCACGAGCTTAACTACCCTACTCATGACTTGGAGTTAGCGGCAGTTGTGTTTGCCTTGAAATGTTGGAGACACTATTTGTATGGTGAGAGATTCGAGGTGTTTTCGGATCACAAGAGTTTTAAGTACCTTTCCTCCCAAAAGGACTTGAACAACAGACAGAGGCGATGGGTTGAGTTTTTGGAAGACTACAACTTTGATTTGCAATATCATCTTGGCAAGGCAAATGTGGTAGCTGATACTTTAAGCCAGAAATCTCGTGGGACTTTGGCTAGTTTAGCCAATTGGAAATGGAAGATGCTGGAAGATTTGGCTGAAATGGGATTGTATTGCTTGTGAGTCAGCATTCTTGTTTAGTCTTATGGCTTAACCCACTCTTGTTAGACGGGTGATTGAGTCATAGAGACAGGATTCAGATTTGGATGCCATTTACACTTTGATCTCCAGTGGCGAGACCGTGAATGATTGGACCTTACTTGCAGATTGAGGTGTACGGTTTAGGGGTTTCTTGGTTGTTCCTACAGTTGGTTGATTGAGGGACATTTTCTGCGGAGGTCATGCCGAAATTTTTATAGATTTTTATTATTATTTTGGTATCTTTTCTGGTCGTTAAAGAAAAAGTATGCTTAAGTGATGGTATTTCATGCCTATTGTGTTTAAATTGCTATATTTCGTAGAATGGAAGTATGATAAATATTTCTAATAATTTTCCTACAAAGCATGTTGTGTTGTTAATGTTGGGCTTATGAGATATGAAATTGTCTATTGGCATGGCATGATAAGCATGGTACATTCATGCATGATATTGGGCAAGAAAATGGGAAATGTAATTTGAAAATGAAAGAAAATTATTTTGGGAAAAAGGTTTTTTTTATGAAAGGTTTGCGAAAACCCGGTTGCATAGGAGTTGTCTATGGGTCCGTGGCGTTAATGTGACCTAGAGAGGACTATGGAGATTGCCCTAGCGTGGTTGAGTTACCTGGGCCCCAAATGAAGCCCTGGAGTTGTCTTGTGGTCAGGGACAGCTAGCTAATTCTCCTCTAGTGCCGTCATGGGATGGGTTGCATTAACGGTTTGGAAGAATGATGATGGAAAATGTTTTGAAAATGGGGAGCGACATTGCATGTCATGGTTCATTATGACTTGGATTATTGTTGTTGATATTGTGATTAATTATATGTTTCCCGAAAATGGCATGATCCCGTTCTGTATTTTTCCTATACTTTGTTTGGATTCACGGAGTCACAAGAGGTATGTCGTAGGCACTTTCCACTGAGCCATTGTGCTCACCCTTTTATTAATAATATTTTTCAGGATACGGAAAGGAAGTGGCGGACGACAATCCATCACAAGTTTAGTCGTGTTGAAAGAGACTTGGACTTCTTTTGTGCTTGATGTGTATATTACCATTTTTGTTGTAAATTGTCATAGATGACATTTTGGTTTCTAGTTCATCGTTAGAAATGGTCTTAAGACCATTCTCTTGTATTTTGTGGTCTCATTATGATTTCAATATCTATGTAAGGCCTTAAGGACATATTTTGATGTATGACGGACTTCTTTAATTTTAATGGTGTAACGAATTCATGTATAGCTTTATTTGAATGAAATACTACCTAGTTGTATTAATTTCATCATCAAATGAAAGATTTGGGATAGGTTTGGACTTTGAATAAAGTCACCAAGGGACCAAATGGGTTGCCCATGTGCAAGTTCACAGTTTTAGGCCTTTTCTGGGTAAAATTTTAGGTTCTGGTCATCTGGAACCAGTTCAGCCCCATTGAACCGGTTCAAGAGGTGCTTTTGGTTCATGATTGGGCATACTGCCCAACTTGAACTGGTTCAGCCCCATTGAACCGGTTCAAGTCCCCTAGTGCACCCTTTTGGCTTCCTCAGTTTGACAGCTTGGATCACTTAACTTCGGGCGGTCATAACTTTTTCGTTCCGAACCCAAATTAGGTCATTCTTGAGTCCATTTTCAAGGATTTTGAGTTAGATTTCTAATGAGACCAACCTCATCTTCAAATTCTATTCATGCTGAGAGTTATGGTTGTTTTAGTGGAGCAGTGTCAAAATTTTCCTTGAACCGAGTAAGGGTACTTTTGGGAATTCATGATCGATGACCGTAGAACCCCTTCTAATGTCATGGAATGACTAGAATGATTGTTTGTAAAATGACCATTTTACCCCTAGTGTGTCCTCGGGTTCGGGTAAGGACTCGGTTAGTGATTTGGACCCCTAGTTCGGGTCGTTTCAAATTTATAGTAGGTGTTACAATGGGTATTTGTCCCACATCGGATCCAGATAGAAAATGAAAGGGGTATAAATGGGTGAGTATGCAGTACTACCCAATAACTTAAACCTTTGGATAAATGGGCAAGTACCACCCGTAGGGATGCAACTTGGGCAAGCAACCCAAACTCAACTTGAGTCCAATACCCAAATTCTAATATTATATATATATATATATATATATATATTTATATTTATATATATATATTTTTACTTTAAATACATTATATATAATATTCAAATTATGATGACTTTTTTTCTTTTCAACTTCCTTTGTTTAAATCTTAATTTATTATATGTCACTTGGGAGAATTTAATTTTCTAAGACTTTTCTTGTAATTTATTAAAATTTGCAAAGAGTTTTTACAACTTTTTGTGTTTGTGATAATTTAATCTGGAATCACATTAAATTTTCAGTATGGAGGTTGGCCATTTAAATAATCTGAATTAACTCACTTGTTAACCCGAAATTTAAGCCCGAATTAACTAGACTTTTTAACTCGAATTACAAATTCGAATTTAAAATAAAAATAAAAAATAGGTTGAGCTTGGGTTGAAGAGTTAGGGTTAGAGTTGAGTTATGGTTGAATATTTCATATATCGGGTTGGGCTCAAGTTGTTGTACCTTCATCTTGCCTAACCTGCCGAGTTGTAGCCCTAATTTATAGTATAAAATTTTAAGCATATTTAAATTTCTAAACAAAAAATTTGGATTGCATATCAACTTTTGAATAGATGTTGTATTAATTCTGCTGAAATTTTCAAAAGTAACACTTATTTATGTTGCTGAAAAAAACTATGACTAATTAATAATTAATTCTTATGAAAGAATATTGAATAATATAAGTCACAATAACGTATTATAATATAAAATCAGTTTTAAGCATAATACAAATGTGTTCTTATAACTTATCAGGGAAAAAAGTGTTGGAAAAATAAAATTGATTTTAGTATTCAGTCTTTTTCAAGAATTTGGTATACATTATGCATGTGTGCATGTATTATGTTATTGATAGTTATTTGGCTAATATGGAAATTAGAGTGATTGTGAAAGTTATGCAAAATCAAGAGTAATGAGATGCTGGTGGGTTAATGGGAGTAATTAGGCATTTATATGTAAATTAGTTACTTACAGGAGGAGTATGTCTTAAAGGCCTATATAACCATGTCCCTAAACAATGCTACATGTGTTCCTCCGTCCACTTCTCCTCTAAAATTATTGAGTTGGGTATATAGATAAACTAGTCCCTTTAATTCCAACAAAGTGGTATTCTAGCAAAGCCAACAAAAAGTTAAGCCTCTATCTGCTAAAACTAGTTTGAAAAGAATTTCATGACAAAAAAAGAAAAAAATTCAAGATGCATATATGAAAGTGAAAAAGATTTGGTCTGAGTTGACGATGAATAAACGAAGAGAGATGATGATTGTATTTGTTGTCTTGACACAATAGATAAAGAGGAGGTTGGAGAAGGGTTTATTACCTGGTTGGCGACACAAGTAAGTAAATCATCGTAGCTGCCATCGAACTCGACAAACTCGTAGGGTAGAATATCAAAACTCAAAGTCTTCACCACCTCCACAAACAAATCGATGCTAAAACCAGTATATGTCTTCTCATCTGGGTTGTTGATGGATGTTTCTATCCTCACAAACCGGTCAGAAAAGGTCCTGATTGGAATTCCGATTTTCATTGGTCTTGATGAAGTCCAAAATATTATGTAACTAGCTCTAGTTTCTGTGTTGGAGTTAACTGGGGAGATAGTGAGAATGAGTACAGCATGGAATAAGAAATAAAGAGGTACCCAAGCTGTCTTAAGAGAGAAACACAAACCCATCTTTTGATTAATTTTAGCAACAATTTCACAATCTTGAGGAGAGATAAAGAGAGATATTTGTGCAGTCGAGTAGATTGAAATTTCTGGAATATTTTTGGCTAAGTCAACGGCTATATCACTTTTCGATCTGTTTCAACAATTAATTAATAAAATATATAGAATTTTCTCGGATATTTCCTCTCAATTACCTTCAGGCCTATACATTCCCCTCAGCTGAGAAGAAAACGAACCAGAGAGAAACCACCAAACAGAACAAACAAAAACCCCCCCCTCAAGCAGCAAGGGGGGAAAAATCAAAGCGGATGGCTTCTAGAAAATGATTTGTTCATTAAATAACGACAACTAAGCTATATATAAACATCTATATATATATATATATATTAAATAACGACAACTAAGCTATATATAAACATCTATATATATATATATATATATATATATATATATATGGAATAAGTGCAAGAAACACCCCTTAAGTATACATTTCAGGACACTTTTACCTCCTATTTAAAAATGTGTGCAAAAAACACCCCTATTCTTTTTAATTTGTGCAAAAACACCCCTCAATTAATATAATGTCCATTTTACCTTTTTATTCTTCCAAAAATACCCCTACCAACCCTAATTCTCCACCCCAAAATGGTAACCACCGTGCCACCATGGTACAGGTTATGGCACTCACATTTTCGCAGGCACCAAGCAGAGCAACTCAATTGCAAAACCACTGAGATACATGATTTCAAAGATTACAAACATTATCTCAAGCTTTAATTCTCCTGTCTGGGTTTCAGCAAACAGAGTTTGATCCCAAGGACTTGAAATTCCAAGAAACAAGTGCATGTCAAACCTCATAAAATATGATTTTTTAACTTACATATCTCGGATTTTTTTATATAATTTGTGCTAGTTCGTATGATTCTGAATTATAATACCAAGAGTAGACCGAATCATCGAAGATATATATATATATATAATTATGTTCTATATTAATACATAATGGATACTATATATAGAGAGGGAGAATTAAACTTATTTGGGATGCATTTTTTTTCTCTCCCCCTGAATAGGTACGTACCTAGAGACAATAATATATAATTACATATGGATTTTGTGTGATTCCAACGTAATTAATGTACATGGAGAAAATAATATATAAATATAAATTCAGTAATGAGAATTAGTATTCCATGTTGTGTGGAGGAGATGGCAAGAACTTATATATATATTATATATATATATATAATTTTGATAACTATTTATGTCGTTACACATTGCAATGAAGGATATTAATGGCATATTAAAAGCTGAATGAGTTATTGGGCTAATCTTGAAAGAGGACAAAAAAAAAAAAAAAAAACAAAGAAGAAGAAGAAGAAGAAGAGAGGACAACCTCCATTAAAGGGGTTGTCTATTTCTTTTCCATTTCAGTCAATTGTAAATCGAAAGGAACATTACGATGGGAATGAACTAATCCTCTAATAGGCGTTGGGTTGGGATTGGGATTGTGTGGTTAGTGGCGATTATGGGATGGCTGATGCAGAAGAAGAAGAAGACGGGCAAACCCTTTTTAGTCATTTCACAAAATAATTTTTTTTTTATATATATTATAAAATGTGTTGCTAAGGGCATTTTAGTCCAATTTTTGTAAATATGACCTATTTGCACAAATATTATAGTTTAGGGGTGTTTTTTGCACGAGAGGGGTGCAATATGCACTATAAGCATACTATAGGGGCGTTTTTTTTTTTTTTTTTTTTGCATTTGACTCATATATATATATGTGTGTGTGTGTTAGAAATTGTGAATGAAAATTGTGTGATTAGTCATCAATAGATGCCTTTGACTGAACAGGTGTGATCAATGGTTGGTTGTGGAATGAAAAGATATAACTCAAAACCAATAGACGCTATGTGAACCATCGAAACCAATTAGAGTGGTTGGGTCTTGTAATGGAAAAACACATTTAAATGGTTGTGTTTAGTGATAAAGAGGCATATATAAATGGTTGTGTCCAATGATGAAGAGACACACCCAGTCCGAAAAGACATTTCTATTTATATAAATACTGCTTTGGCTGCCATTTGCAATTCATTCAATTCAATTTTGTTTTTCTCTCTCCCTCTCTAGACTTGAACCCAACCCAAATGGGTTCAAACCATAGGTCAAGTAGTTTGAGCCACTTAGACCCTAATCTAATTTCATCGAACCATATTAAGATTGGTTTGAATTGCATCCAATTTAGCATTTTTATAGTATAGATGCATTTTTGAGCCAATAGAGTATTGCAGGGACGAGGTTCGCTATATCCACAAGTTTGTAGTGCTGCTACTGGTGGATGTAGACTATTGTATCCTGAGAGATAGACGCCACTGAGTCCGTTAGTACCATAGTGGAGCAAATCTGTCTTAAGGATATAGTATCAATTACTAGCCTCGGTCCAGGTTCTTTATTTATTATTATAATTTTATTGCTTTAATTTGCATTTTAATTAAATATATAGTTGCATATTTAATTAATCATTTCTTAGTATATTGTTAATTATCTCATAACATATTAGTATAAGGGTTGTTGTATCTTAAATGTCACATGAAACATATATTTTACCAACAATATATATATATATATATATATATATATATATATAATATTATCAGCAAACTTTGAGAAATTATTAAATAGTCATGGTCTATTTAATATTTGGTGGACTAATTCAGTAAAGACCTCCAATCATAAAGCATTGTAATTTATTAATACACTCTTATGAGACCATTTTCTCAATCCAAAAATCTATATTTAACTGATCCACAAAATATTAATGGTCCAGGAGTATTTAATAATTTCTCCGAAGCTTTATACTCATTAATAAATGGGTTAAGTGCAAAAAACCCCCATCTATTATTGATATAGTGCATATCGATCACTGTATGGTATAAAAAAAACCCTATACTTTCAATTTGGTGCAAATAGGTCTTTGTGTGGTATAAAATGACGATAATACTCTCACTTGAATAAATTAATGATTATAAATACCGGCTATGTACCATTTTGTCCAAATTTGTATAAAATTGTGTTTGTTTGGCAGAAGAATAAAATAAATCTTAAATTGTATAAAATAGGGATAATCTAAACTTGAATATAATTAAAACTAAAACCAAACATTCCCTAACTATATAAGGCATACTTAACCATTTTCAAGCATTCCCCAACTAAGGCCGACTCTAAAATGTTTAGTGTTAAGTCTGGTATAGATCTGTTTCCTCTTTCTTTCTTGTTCGAAATCTCGATTGTAAAAGCATTCTGTGTATTTTAACCTACAATTGATAATAGAAAAATCAGAGCAAAAATAATATAAACATTGAAGTTCACCTATAAGAAATCACCAAAATAAAGATTTACAAGAAAAAGGTCTTTTACGAGTGCCCAAACACCTCGTGAAAACATATTCACGACACACATGACACCCTTGTCTGTTATGCCTTTGTAAATGCTCTTAGTTTTTTACGGGGACTAGCAATTCTCGTAAAATAGTAAAGCACGAGACACCAGGCGTCTCGTTAATAACTAATTCATGAAGTAACCTCGTTAATAATTAATTTACGATGTGAGAAGCCTCTCGTTAATAATTAATTTACGATGTTACTAGCCTCTCGTGAATAATGAATTTACGAGTAACTAGCCTCTCATTAATAATTAATTTACGGTGTCACTAGCCACTCGTTAATACATATTTATGAGATACGCTGCAAGCCGTAAAAAACTTTTTATAGGGGATTCTCTCCTTGTAAATAATGTAAAAACTTTTATTCAAGGGTTGTGAAGACCCCGTAAATAACATATTTATTTATATTTAATAAAACATTCAATTAATGCTACCCAATCATTCATATATAACCTGTATATTGGTCACAATTTTAAGTAAACAGTACTTCATAAAGCTAACACTTTCCACTTGATACCAATAACCAAATATACCATTAAACATATCAAAAGACAATTTTTCAATTCACCAATTCATACACTATTCAACATATCAAAAGATTTCACAATTCATACACTATTAAACATATCAAAAGATAATTCATCATGGTTTAATGTGCCAAATTGCAAAAGAAAATTCAATGTTTGACAAAAACACATCAATAAGTCAATCTTCACATTGTTCTTTAATCATCGGCACAAGTTGACTTTCAATTTTTCACACTTCCTCCACCTCATTGTCCATGGTACAAAATCCAAGCAGGTACTTGCATTACAAAAAAAAAAAAAAGAAAAAAAAAGATAATGAATGAGGTGAAATTAGAAAAAAGAGTATGATTACTACTACAGTACAACTGCTGAAATGCCTATGATCAATAAAATGAGACTTAAAAAAAAAAAAAAAAAAAAATTATTCTTAATTTCATATCTTCAAAATGTGGCCGCTAATAGTCTACTAGCATAGCCTCGTGCCAATCTAGTTTGTAACACACTCACATGTATCATTACTTTAATTTCAAAAGTAAAAACATGCTCATCATTTTTATTCCTTCAACAATTTTTTGTTCTTTAACTACTACCGGTCCAACTACTACCACTAACCCTTTCTTAGTTATCAAAAGGTGAGGGCCTTACATATGTAACACTACGTCAAGCCTTCACGTATATAGAACTTAACTGAGTGCCAACTCATCTCAATCCCATAACATCTGGAAATAACAAACAATGGCCTCACCGGTAAAAGTTAGGTAACAATACAGGTTTACTAAATGGCAACAAAATCAATGTCCACATATAACATCAAGTTAAAACAACAAGAGCTCATGATGACAATAACACAAGGCAAATCTATAAATGAACTCCATCACACATGTCAGACCATATATCCAACACATCAATACTGTTTTGGAGTTCAGAAAATTAGAGAACAAGAAAAAGTACCGTGTTATCTATAACAATGGTGTTGAATAATCTTATTTGGAAGTTGATTTTATCTAAGTAGTTAGGTTTTTAAACATGGTACTGTATTCCTGCTTGGACCATCTCTCTTAGAACATAAGATGCTGGAATTGTTTTATCTTGTGGTAACTAGAGTCAATAAAAT